CGTCAATTGATGACATGATCCCGGTATTTATAAAATACAGAATGCGTGTGAGAATAATAGACCAACTGGGCAAAATCATTTATTCTTATTCACCAGAGATGTTTGACCGCAACATCAGAGCCTTTTATGCAATGGTCAAAAATAATCATATCTACACACTGAATAATAATATTAAAAGATTGGAACAAAAACAAAATACCGATGATGCATTTGTAGTAAAGGCACGGCCCGACTATCATATAAGTGATAGAGAGAAGCCATCGATTTGCAAAATGTTTTCTACTATTGATGACATTTTTGAAACGGTTAAGGCAACAATTGCAAACAGAACCGACAAACAGGAAAAGAACTTTTTAGATTTAGTTCATAGAGAGAATGATCTAAATAAATTATTTTGCGATTTCAAAAATACCGGGTATGAATGCAGGATTGTTCACAAAGCAGGGACTATTTCAGAATTGAGGGCGGACTTCAATAATGTATATTTAAATATTAGGTCACAGTGTCTGATAGACGACCAGATCAATAGTGACATCACAGTAGACAGAGAAACGGTTTACAACAATATGACCGAAGCGATGTTTACATTCAAAAAGAAATTATTCAATCCAAATCACAAGTCTTATTATAGTCCTACCGATATACAAGTTTTAAATAATTATAGAACCATCGTCCCACAAGGCGAGTTATTCAAGGGCTTGGATAAATTGGATGTTCCAAAACAGGAAATCGACATGAACAAAGCGTTTACAGATGCATTTAATACGATTACCAGAATTGGAGTTTTTAATCAGTTTGATAATTGGAAAGCTTATAATAGTAAATGTAAGATCAAGGATGTAAATATATATTTGGTAAAAGCAGAACTGACACATCGCAATCGGTTTTTTAATAATGATACTAATATAGTTTATGGTATGTTTCTTAAGCATTTTATGCCACTTGTTGCATCCGGCGAGTTGTCCATTACTCACTACAAACAGCCACATTTCATTCACAAGGTAGATAATAAAATGTTGGTTGAGGAACTCTGGGGAAAGCGAATAAGCGAAAATATTGAAGAAGACAAGGCAATTAAAAAAATAATAGCCAACTCGATTTTTGGCTTGTTGGAAAAAAGTAAGAACAGCAGTCAGAGATCATTCGTTTTGATTGATCTCAATGAGGCGATCAGCCTTCAGGCAGATGCAGGGGGGAAGTTAAACATGATGAGCAGGAATACTGCCAAGTGGGTTGAAGAGTTTGATGACAACGGGATGTGGTGCCGTGATAGAGAAGTATCTGAACAAAACGACAATTTATATTATATTCTGAATGTGGTTGATAGGTGCGAGTTGTCCAATGGGTTTCGATTTATTAAAGAAATGCTATTGCAGTATCATAATTTTAAAATGCAATGCGCATATCAAAAATTGACAGAGAACAATGTTAAGGTATTGAGTGTCAAATGCGACGCTTTTGTCGTGGACTGTTCGGGTTTTAATAAGTTTGGTTTGCGAAAGACTCAGCAGTTGCTAGATTTTCACGATGGGATCGGTGGGTGGAAATTATCCAAGACTCACGATGAGATCCATCATACAGGAAAGCAGTTGTATGAACAGAAGAAGTGTGAATATGTTGATATCCCGATTGTCAAAAGTAAGAGAGTTAACATCATTAATGAGTATGATGAAAACGAATTGGTTGAACTTGTTGAGAAATATAGGTGCTTGATGATCAAGGCCAAATTCGCAGGAGCGGGGAAGTCCACCATCTGCAAGAACATGGAGAGACTCAGGGGTTATAAAGTGTTGTTCGTGGTTCCTACCAATAATCTGGGTTTGGAGTGCGAAGTGGAAAGCGTCGCTGTAAATAAATTCTTCAGTATAGCAGTCAATGACGAGAAGCTAGACACATACGATCATTCGATGTTTGATGTCATTGTGTTTGATGAGATTTGTTTTAATAATACCTTTGTATTGGCAAAAATCAAGGGCTTCGTTGAGCAGTTCAAGGACAGTAAAATAATGTTGGCAACCGGTGACGCCAAGCAGTTGAGCCCCATAAAAGCACTGACTAACACTAAGAAACACGAGATTTATATGAATGAATGTATTGACAGCATTTTTCCTCATCATTTGTTTTTGGAAGAGTGCAAGCGATTGAAGACTCAGGAGGACAAGGATAAACTTAAAAGCATTTATGCCGACATCTTTGAGCATGAGTTGTCTCTACATGATGTCATCAATAAGTATTTTAAATATACTGATGACATCACAGGCACAGAAAGCAATGTCGCATATTTAAATAACACTTGTAGAGAGGTTTCAAGGCAGATCAGGAAACGACAGGGCAAACAAAATGAGTTTGAAGTCGGCGAGATCATGATATGCAGAGAGTATAGGAAGACAAAAACCTATAAGTTAAATGTGAATTTTAGGTATGAGATAATTAATGTTTCCGATCCTTGGATTACCATTGCTAATATCAAAACACGAGAAGAGATTACATTACATATTGGTATCTTGAGAAGTCATTCTATCTTTGCCTTCTGTTATACTTGTCATTCTGTTCAGGGGTGTTCCATTGATGACGATGTCACCATTTTTGATTGGAACCATCATCTGATAACTTGCGAGTGGCTTTGGACGGGGGTCACACGGGCAAGGGATTTAAACAGAGTAAAATTTTACAAATACAGTAGTGATTTAAATGAAGAGTTTAACGCAAAATGCATTATGAATTATTTTGATAGAAAGGTGTTAGCATACAAGGACCAGGATAGGAAAAACAAATTTGAGATCCCAAAAGACAATTATGTGGATGCCGAATGGTTGAAGGACAATGTCAACGGAAAGTGTGCAAATTGTGGCTGTGGCTTCGTGTTGTCAATGGATTCTGGCAATATAAACTCTAATTTGACTTGTCAAAGGTTATGCAATGATCTTCCCCATACAAAGGATAATGTCATTGCCTTCTGTGCTTCTTGTAATAGATGCTTCAGTGATAAAATAACATATTGATATTTATTTTATAGTATTATATATATGAGTGAAAAAGACAAGATAATCAGTGAGGTCTACTACGATCAGGCTGGGTTTGGTAGCATCGCCACCACTTACAAAGATGCAAAAAAGAAAGATGCATCCATAACAATGCAAGATGTCAAGGAGTGGTTTCAAGAGAACGTGGAACGGAAAAAACAACTGTCTGGATACAATTCGTTTATTGCCCCTGATATCAACTTTGAATATCAATTGGATCTGTTTTTTTATATCAAAAAAAATGATTTAGATAATCAAAAATATAGGATAGGCTTATTGCTTATTGATGTACTTTCCCGCAAAGCCGTGGTGGTGCCTATTGCATCCAAGCAACCTGCCAACATCACGGCTGGGATCATGAAGGCATTAAACAAAATGGGAGGGAAACCCAAATTAATTTATTCGGATGAGAAGGGGAGTCTCAATACCCAAGATCTTGTTGATTTTTTCAAGGACGAAGGGATCCAAAACTATAAAACACGAGGGCACCCCCATTTCGCCGAGCGTTTCATTCGCACGTTCAAGGACATGCTTTTCAAGAGGGTTGATGCAGACGAGAAAAAGGGAAGGTTAATATACAATGGGTTGATTATATCCCCGAGATCATGCTGACATACAACAGTAAAATGGTTCATTCTGCCCACGATATGACTCCAAACGATGCCCACAAAAAGGGGAACCATCTTGAGGTCAAGATGAAGCTTGAGATGAACAGAATCAAAACCCGTAGATATCCGCCTATTAGGGTTGGCGATGAGGTCAAAATATACCGCAAAAAAGGGATTTCCGAGAAAGAAAGAACGAGCTCATGGTCAGCAAACAAGTTCACAATTGAAAGGATTGAGCGAAAACTTGGACAATACTATTATTATGTCCAAGGCGTGGCTCGTGCTTATTTGAGATCGGAAATTCTGAAGGTTTGAAAAAATAATATCTAAACGGTTCTAATAGCTGATGAATCTATTAGAACCGTTTAGTGGGACAGGGTCGGTCCTTCTTGAATGGATTTGGTCAAAGGGTGCTTTGAAACTGGTCAAAGGGTGCTTTGAAACTGGTCAAAGGGTGCTTTGAAACTGGTCAAAGGGTGCTTTGAAACTGGTCAAAGGGTGCTTTGAAACTGGTCAAAGGGTGCTTTGAAACTGGTCAAAGGGTGCTTTGAAACTGGTCAAAGGATGCTTTGAAACTGGTCAAGGGTGCTTTGAAACTGGTCAAAGGGTGCTTTGAAACTGGTCAAAGGGTGCTTTGAAACTGGTCAAAGGGTGCTTTGAAACTGGTCAAAGGGTGCTTTGAAACTGGTCAAAGGGTGCTTTGAAACTGGTCAAAGGGTGCTTTGAAACTGGTCAAAGGGTCGCTGGGTTGGCACATGCAAGGGCTTACATAGCGACATCAGAGCCGTGGGGGTGCTTTCCTACATAGGCCTTTCCCATCCGCATATTGCCATCCAATGTCACACAGATTATTTTCAAGATTTGGGTTAACGGTTTTAATTCTCCCTTTTCCATTGGTTAACCTTTTTTCGGGGCGAACGTAGGGTTCTTTTTTAGACTGCTTTGTATTTGTTGGAAATGGGAAAGGGTCTCAGGTTGGATCAAGGGAGGAATTATTGAGATCTTGGGGTTGCGATCTTGGGAATGAAAAAATGTTGGTATGTAGCTTGGATTTTTTTGTGGGATTTGTTGAGGTGGTATGTAGTTATGATTGTTGTTATTGAATGAGTGTAAGGGTGATGTTGAGATGGGGTAAGAAATGAAGATGGGTATGTGAATATGTGTTTTTTGGAGTTGGATTGGTTGGGTGATTGAATTTGAATGTTGAAAATAGGTTGTTTTAGTGGGTGTATTCAGAATGTGCCCAAAAGTGTGGGGGGGACCCTAGGACCGGATGGCAAAATGCGGACGGGAGAGGCCACCACTAACTCAAACCCCCCCCCCCGCCCCCACACCAGCGGGCTCCCTCCAGCACCCCCCCCGCGTCAGCCTCGGGAAGTTGCAGCCGCCGGCGATGGGCTGGTCGTTGTCCACCGCGTTGTCCTCGGAGCGGTTGACATGGGCGGGTTGCTGCTGCTGACCCCCCTTTGTTGTTTGTTTAAATTTAAAAAAAAATGTGGGTTTAGTGGAAAACCCAACTGGCCCCCCTTCATTTTGTTTGTCTAAGATTTTAAGTTTTTGGGGGTGAGTTCGGAAAACCCAACTTGACTTCCCAAAAAGTTAAAGTCTAAAGGTCACTTATTTTTTGGGGGGTTAGTTTGCGAAAACCCAACCTGACTTCCCACGAAAGTCTAAAGATTCGTTGCCCATTGCCAGTCAAGAAATGGGCGTGCGGGCGTGCGTCTTCGCAGACCAGGGTACCCTTCCTCCGACAATCCTGGAAGCTCAAAGGAGGGTTTTGAAATCGTACTTTCCTTTTGGGGAGCCCCCGGTCCACTTTCATGATTGTCGGAAAGAGGGTATGTCTCAGAACAGTTCCTTCTGGTTTGGATTTCCCGTTCACCCCCAAAAATGGCTGGTTTCCCTGTCAAGAAGAATGGTGCCAAAACAAAAACAAGAACCCCCGGTCGGTTTGGAGGGAAGCCACAAAAGATGTGGTTAAGGCGGAACCTCAGGGGTTCCGTGCTACTCGGTACTGTTTCAGCTTGGTGTGAAGGAAAACCAAATTGGCAGCCACAGACCCCAAATTCCTATTTTGACACGTGTCATAGTATTCTACACACCCAGAAAAAACAGCAACCAGCAAAGCCGAGGTTTCAAAACCGACTCCCGGGTATGTGTTGTCCGTCGCTCATATCTATCCCTTTTCAGTGTTCAAACTGATTCCTTTTCCATCTGCGTGCAAAATGGTTGGCCAATCCTAAATCCCTCGGGCATTGTCCCGGAACTGCTGAACCATTGCTCCTTTCTGGGTGCGTCTTAAAATGGACCCCAAAAAATAGGAGTGGCTCCCTATTCAATGAGGCATCCCCTCGCACACAGTGCTATGCAACTGGGAAAAAGTCCCGTAATATGAATACACTGTTTCAAATTCATTATTGTTGAAAAGGATTCAAAGTTGGGTCACTGGTCTGAAATGCAGGGCCCTTGTTTCGAGTACAGCTGGCAGGTGGATGTGCAGAAGTTTGTTCTTGGGCAGGCATGAATGGGCGTGTGAAAAATATATGTGGTATTTTACAAAGGGGGGGTTGGGCCTCCTATTGGTTTTCCCGTTACAAACCCAACCAAGGGCCTCAAACAAACACACAAACAGAACAAACACAGGTGGCCTGAAGCTTGGCGTTCCGATTCGCCACAGCAAAGCTCCACTTGTGAAGCCCGATGTCTTGGAATAGGGTACTCAGTTGTTGGGTGACCCTGGGAAAAAAGGGAACCCTTTTTGGGGAAGACCATTTTTACAGGGGCAGCCACCAAAAAAAAGGGGAAAAGGGTGCCACTGAACAACTGAGGGTACCCACCCAAAACGACTGCTGGTGTTTGGCTTTTATTTAACACCACTGCAACCAGCGTACCCTCAACAAAGAGACACACCCATATTGCTCCAAGAGAGGGATTGAAGACTGCCACATCCAGGTCGCGCAAACTGGACGCAATGAACATTCTTTGCTGGAAGGAATCCACAAGGCTGCGAACTTGAGTGGGTCCCGGACACATCGGTGGACATGAGAATTCGGGGACTCGTGTCAGCCACGTGGGTCCCACCAAAAACATCGCCAGACGGGTGCATGTGAAAACAACCTGACTTTGGGTTCTACCAACATGCTGACACAGGCTTATATAGGCCTTAGCATAACCCCAATGTTGTCAGGGCGAACCACCTTCTAAAGCGTTTGTTGGTTTCGGTTTTGGGCGCTCTTTGGTGTGTCACCAGCAGGCCCAGGCTTCACAGGATGCTGGTGGTCGACTGAGCGCCAGACAATGACCACCTCGGGGTTGAAGATGCTCATCTTTTCTATCTCCTGGCGCTCAACTATCATCTTGTCGACCGCAAATGGGCCCGTCTTCTTTTTCAGGGTACCCTCTTGTTTGGTGGTTTTAAAGGGAAACCAAGAGGAAAAACCGAAGCCACTGCCTCAGTGCCGCGGTTGCAAGTGAGATAATGGGGTTGGATCGGCTCTTCACATTTTTTTGAGTCATCAAAGAAGGATGCTCCTATGCCCCCCCCCCCCCGAAAAATCCGCTTCGGATGGATGAACCCCTATGAAAACTGAGATAAACCACCCACCAACTGGATTCTGTCCCACAGTATTGCCAACTTGTGGTTTGATTGCTTCGATTCGTTTCAATCCCGTCAACGAACACCGGGCCACTCGTTGGGACCCGTCCTTGCCCGTCAGGCCAACGCACCTGGGGTCTTGCCAGTCCAGCCTCGGATTTCTGAGGATGCGCCCATACCACCCCCAAGCACCGAAACGAAAATCCCATAATCAACATCCCCTTGGTACGGTAACCAAAAACCAGTGTTTGGAGGGGGGGTTTTCGGTACTGTTGGAATCTCTGTGGTTAAACTGCCAGGTGGACTCTGATGGACAAAATCCGATCGCTTCAGACACCAGTGGGTGGTTCGTCCCATTCACCGGGTTTCCAGCCCAAACTGGTGCCATGCAGAGTGTGCCTAGCAGATGGCTTCCGCTGCCCCCCACCAGCACTCAGGGGAACTTGGGGTATATAATCCTTTGACTATAGCAGGAATTCACCACCCGAAACCAGTGGTCCTCAAAACAGTGCCGATATTTGGGCTTGTGTTTTTAATGGTATTTTTGTTTAGTCTTATTCTTCGCGTTTGTCTTTGTTTGTCTTTTTGTGTTTTTTTGGGGGGCGGGGCGCGTGCTTCCCAGAGTGCCGTCTTTTAAGTTCTTTTGACATGGGGCCCCTCCCTGCATTGAAAGGCATCTCCATGTTTGAAGAATAGCGACGCTTCATCTTTGGCAAGTTCTTGATTGACCTATTGATACTCAGGTGGTCACAGGGGATGCGGTCAATAGGGTCTGCGAATCTGTCCATAGTCTCCGCTACCGTACATGTCTTGAAACGGGCGTTGGCCTCTTTGCCTGTGAGCCTGTCATCATCCTTCAGAACCATTTTATAAGTTTCCAGGATTCATAAAAGTGGTCCTACAGTAGACAAACTTGCGCCACCAAATCAAGGCCATGACCTTGCAGAAACTGGTCAAAGGCGCCCTAAAATGGCCCAAGCTGCACATGTCAGCGGCAGCTTTTCTCCCACATCCGCGCCTCTGCGCTACTCACTGCTCACAGTGAGCACTAGCATGGAACACATCTACTGACCAGCCAGCCAGCACGGCATCCTCTGTGGCCACCGAAGAGGCAGAGGAGGACGTCGCCATGAGCAGCGTGCGCGTGGCATAGGGTCGACCCCAAAGTTCTGAAGCAACGCTAGCACTGTGCAAAAGGAGCCTGATCGAAATCCTGGGCGCCTACTCACAATGTGCAACCTGAATCTGCTTAATCCTTGTTCTGGCTGGAATCACCATGATCTGCAATCCATGCTGCATGCTGCAAATGCAAAATGCTCTAAACCTCATCATGCTGCAGCATCGAGAAGATCCGTGCAACATCATGCAACCCCTATTCTGTGAACAACTGTAAAACACTGGCTACTTTGGGCCAAGACTTTGGGGGGCTGGCCTGGCTAGAATTGTAATTGTTGATAGCACCACAAGGTCGAAGGTGGGATTGTGCGTCTTTCATGGAGCCCTTTCTAAGGTTGGTTCAAACCTGGAAACTAAAAGGAACACAGTAACTTGTGAGGTTCCCCACATTTCCCCACATACCCTGCTTAGGAATAGCTCCCCACAAATTAGGAACAATTTAGAAATAGTTCTGTGTATCTCAGAAATAGTTCTGCGACATGACCAACATAAAGAGGCCGACGCTACCCCCAACACATGTCCAATGATCAGGATCAACTCAAGCCCACAAACAGCCACATGGGGTCCCACATGTTGCCACGACTGCCTAGTGGCCAAGGGAAATAGTGCGGGGGCCACCAGCTATCATGATCGGGTCTAGCAAGGGATAAGCTTGTTGCAACACCCAGCTCCGTTTTCCAATGTAGGTAACCGTGGAAAACACCCTTGAAACACAGCATGGCCGAAATGGCTGGATATGCCTGGAATCCACTGGGTCAGGTCGTTTTGGGCGCGATCATGCTGTTACCCCTAGGGTGGTCCAAGTATCCCAAAAGAAGCCTTGCGGCCAACACGCACAACCTCAATCCTACACAACTAACACTTGAAGGAGTGCGACTTCCCATCCACTGAAACTGCTCGGCAGCCCCCGGAAAACAAAAGTGGGAAGAAAGCAATAGACACCAAAGCACAAACATTCAAAAACGAATCCAAATTCTTAAGGAATCAGCAACCACGAACCCCGAGTCTTACCGCTTGCTCTGCAAAATTTTGCTGTCTGAAGAAGAATGGACTTGTGGATAATCATCTCACTTGTCCAAACGACTTGGAAATGAACAGGTTCACTTTTGGGGCCTTGACCAATCATCGACCAACAAGGTGACATTTGCCTTGCATTCTCGTGTGGATGGAAAAACCTTGCCACTCAGCACCAGCAATCACTGGTTTATCCCAGTCTTCGGGCTTCATTCCACTGGACTGAGCCCATGAACAACGGACTTTTCCGACATGTCGCGCGCGATCGGCCTCTCGGCGGAACGCGCCCTCCACACTGGTCTATAACTTGCACAAGGGGCAGTGATGCCCGAGGTGCACATTGGCACTCCAAAGGTGGCCAAGAACAGAGCGCCAACAACATTGCGTGGTTGGGGCGCCGCAAGGCAACCGGAGATATGTAAAGCAAGCGCATCGGCGCCACATGGGCGTCCCAGAACAGAGCACCAAATGCATTGCGCGGTTGGGGCGCCGCAAGGTGAACCACGAGCGCTTAGCGCTCTCCTGAGGTGTCCAAGCACAGAGTACCACCACAGGCAGCGTGTTCCAGCCCATAAGTTTCCGGTGAGTCCATAACACCAGACTGTACAACCCCATAGCGCATGATCTCGACCATGCTCCCGAACCACTGGCTCAAGCAAAAACTGACGGCGCCCCTATCCAAGTTCACGGCCCTTCAAGAAGAACAGGAAGAGGAAGCCCGGCACTGAGGTAACCACGCTGCAGTGCAGCATAAGCGCCACGGGGAGGAATCAGCCCCGTGCTCCAAGAAAACTTGCACCTGCACTTCATATGTTCTAGGAACACGCAGAGCCCATACGTGCTCAAAGTGAGCAGTTCTGAATTCTCTACAAGCCAGACCACCTTCGCCCCGGCATGTGAGGGAAGGGCGCAAAGGAACTGGCACGTGCGCGGCTGGGACAAGCATAGTCAAGTGTAGCCTCCTCTTGACGCAGGCCTAGAAGAGCACGCCCAGACTGCGAAGAGTCCACGGCAATGGAAACCAGACCGATGCTCCAAAACTACAGAAATGTATTGCAGGATGGTCGCTGCACTCAAGGCACCTTGCATGCCCACTGCTCTGCGCATGAATGGCCAGGACCATGAACCACCACACGACAATCCAGCAGACATGTGGGCCTGCATCTCCATCGCGAAGTAAGACCTACACCACGGTGCACCCACCCCTGTAGATCATCGCAAACCTGTGTCCATGGCGCCCCGAGCGATCGGCTTGCACGGCCCACCCTCTGGTAGGTTGCTTGGGCCAGGCTTAACCCGTGAACAACGGACACTTGCACCTTTTCCGACTGGTCTTAACGGTTTTCTGTCTTGGCTTGTTCTGGTTTACTGGTTGGTTGCCAACCTGCAGCCTTAGTTGCGCCAAGACCCTTGCGTCCCCAGCATTTTCTGCTGTTGCTTGACCCTTGCAACCCTCACATCCAGCCACGTTTGGGTTTCATTCCACACCAAACCGGTGAAGTTTCTTTTGACCATCCATCCGCTGACCCCATCAACGACGGCATCTTTTCCCAGGCGCATCAGCGTAAAGTCGACATCAAAGAGGATGCGCTTGATGTTGATGGCGGTGACGCTGTTCACCTGGACGTGTTGAGTCCCGGGGGGCAAATTCTCCGGGCGCAACCGTCCTTTCAGGGGAAATATGGGACAACCCATGAGGAACCTAAGCGACAAATGAGTCACAATCAAAACCCGGTATTAAAATGGTCGTAATCCCAGAACCATGCTTGAAGAATTAAGAAGGCGGATATCCGCAACTATTTCTGACTCAGGACGTGCCATGTTACTGGCATTTACTGGCAAAGAACGAGACGATGGAATTTTCTCCGGAAGCGAGGAGTGTCTGGTTTCCGCAAGTGTGTTTTTGGAGCTGGTGCCCCTTTCAGGCTGGTCAAAAGGAACATCTTTTGGGGGTTCCCCTATTTTGACATGTACGTGTATCCTGTTTGGTTCTAGATAGGCTGAGAAGCCCGGTCAACGTGGAAAGCCCATTAAACAGAGGTTTGTAACCCTACAGGTTTTTTTCGTGAACAGAGGCGCTCAAGTATGCCAGACGTACTGATTTCTCTGTTGCATCATGGGTTCCCAATAGGAATTCGCATAGGGATACCAGGTGAGACACAGTCAAAACCCGGGCAAGTGAAGGTGTATGGGAAACCGCCACACCGACTAAAAACAACAAACAAAAAGAAAAAAAACACTAAAAACAACCAAGAACAACTCAAAAAAAGAAGAAGGAAAACAACGGAAGGAAGCGAACGGCTGGTACCGCCAAGACGAACCGTCGCAGATTCGCGGCCCGGAGAGGCCTGAATGGTCACCTCCACCGGCCAACTCTCCCCGTCCGAGCTGAAGGAGTTGGTCCTGCAGTGTTTGCTTCAGTATTTACAGCTCGCCGGCGGCTTTGTGATGTTTCAGTTGTTTTTGCTAATCAGCGGGCTTTTCCTTGGGCAAAACGGCTTCCATTGTCGGATTTGTGCACTCCTCCCAGGTCCATGCCAATGTGGCATGCACCTGTCCAAACTAAAGGCCTCTTATCGGCCCTGCTCTATGGGCAATTCGCCCTCACAAAATGCCTGTGCCAGGCTCAAGCCGTACTCATAGTTCACCATGTCACCCGCCCCTCGAAGCAGCAGCGGCACGTGGTCAGGCAGTGCAACCCCTCACGATTCGGATCCGCGCAAAGGCTCACCACATGGTAGATGCCCGGCTGCTTGATGTAGAGGGTTCCTCTGGTCGAAGGCAACAGCCTCCTATAGTCCGGTGTGCAGCATCTGGGGCACGGGAGCGCCTCTGTCTGACGCATCGCGTTCCGAAGCCCATAGCAATCATGCCGCACATGATATCGTTCCCCACAGGGTGTGAAGAAGATCGATGGCTCCAGGGGGATGTAGTCGTCATCCGCGTCGGGCTCAGGGTCAGCCCCTTCTCGATCCTCAGGCTCCGGCTCATGAACTGCCCGAGGAATCATTCTTCCCTTCTGCTTTCCTTTCGACGCCCCCTTGGGGTTGGGCCTGAACTTGGGCAATGCGCCCAACTGCCTAGCACCCGAACTTGCCGAAGTCGATCCCCTCGCTGTAGGCTCCACCCTTCGTGCCGTAGAGCTCTCTCTTGCCGTAGTTGTGCTTCCCGTTGTCATACCTGACGTTGAAGCCTCCGCCCCACTTGACCTTGCCGTAGACGGAGCCCTCGATATTGCTCCTCGCCTCCCTACGGTTGAGCCCCTTTCTGAGTGTTCGTCTTCTTCTTCTTCCTCAGGGTCGGCACCAACTCCTCGAGCCCTCATAGCTCTCATCCTTGGTATCACCTGGCGCGTGCACATCATCTCCACCAGCTTGTACAGGACGATCGACAGGACGCTCACCATGGTCATCAGCGCCTTGAGGGACTCGTCATCCTCCATCTCGCCTTCCGGCAACTTCTCCTTGACCGCCTGCACCTGGGAGATCAGGCTCGCGATGGTTAGCACCTTGATTGCCCCCGTGACCATCTCTGCGTCCACCGGGATGTTCTGGCCAGCGAGCTTGGCTTCCTCTCTCAGATCCATGCCCATCTGCTCCTCCTGGTTGACGTCCTCCTTCTGGTCGTCGTACTGCTCCAGCTTCCAGAGCTTCCTGAGCTCTTCCATTCTCTTCCCACTGAGCGCCTTCGTGCCCAGGTCTGCCAGCATGCGAACTCCCGGCACATGATGAATAGTCCAGCTCTGGTCATCCAGCCTCCACCTGAGGTTGTAGGCTCTCACCCTCAAATGCCGAGTCCGCCAGCTGCCGCTGCCTTCCGAGGCTATTGCTATAGCCGACGAGCTGTCCGTCAACAGCTGCCTCACATAGGCATTCCCGGCCGCCTCTTCTATCTCCGCCACCAAGGCCTCGACGCTCTCTCCCATGACGATGCCCTCCAAGCATTCCGCCAGCTCCGATTCCGCAGTACTCATAGTCGGGAAACTTTGCCTTGAGCTCCTCCACGCAATAGCACCTCCATTCCAGAGCACTGCCACCGAACCGTGGCTGAGACCACCGCCAGGGGAAAACGATGCGTCCGTATACACCTCGATCCTCCTCCCTTCAAGGCCTGACTCTCCATTTCCGACCTGACGCTCCAGCCACAAGCCCACCTCCTTTGTCTTCTTCAGATAGCGCCACACCTGGTCGGCCAACTCCATGACCCATTTCGGCGCCTTTGTCACCGCCGATGACATTCGGCTTGTAACGTACATCAGGTCCGGCCTTGTCTTCGTGGTCAGCCATAGGATTTCTCCGACCGCTCTTTGAGCTGCCTGAACCTCGGCTGCCGTGATATCCAGCTCCTCCGGGGTTTCCGCCATCTCTCTTGTGATCGGGAGAACCGATCCAAGTCCACCTCCGCCGTTCCGATTGAGGACCTCCTGCGTGTAGGCTTGCTGCCCCAGGAAATACCCCCGGCTCGTCCTGCTGATCTCCATGCCGCAGAAGCGCACTTTGGAGCTCTCCTGTATCTTTTCCGGGGTGCTAGTCTCCCACATTGCCTTCACCTGGTGGACGAACTCCTCCAGGGTTTGCTCCCCTCCGTAGGCCAGTATGTCGTCCACATAGACTACCGCCAGCCCTTGAAGGTGACCTTCCTGTGTCCACTCCATTGATCCTGCCGTTGATGATCCTCCGCTCATAGTAGGACCTCCAGTTCTTGCCGTAGAGCTCGTCCCACGCCGCTCCTCATCCTTCTGCTGACTTCCCATGATCCGCCACACGTTCGGGTCAGCGATGGACTGCTCCATCCAGAAGGTCTGCGCTCCTCTTCGCCACTGCAAGGTCCGAACCTTCTCGTCCCGGAACACCGCCCATCTTCTCGGTGACTCCCGCAAGCCGTACAAAGCACGCTCCACCGCCCAGTACTCATCTGACTTGCAAAGTCCCAACCGTACTAGCACTGCCGGGGGTCTCATCAGAACAACCTTCTTCTGCTTGCTCTTGCCGTCCTGGACGTGTAGCGGAGCATTGAGGAATGCCGTCTTGATGTCCAGCACTACTCCCTCCCAGTTGTTCTCCGCTGCACATTTCGTCGCCGTCCTGATAGACATCGCGTCTGACCCACCAGCATATAGAGACTCTTCTTGATCTCTTCCTCCTCCTTCGGCATGGTTTCCGCAGATTACCAGCCTGCACTTCTTCTTTCCGTTCGGCGCCTTGATAGTTGTCACCATCTTTCCCGGCATGAGATCAACCTTGTATCTCGGGTCCTCCATCATCTCTCTCGCCTCCTTGCCCGTGACAATGCGGACCGCCTTCTTCTCTTCCAGAAGTGACCTCATCTCAGCTTCTATAGCCGGGATCCACTCCTCCTTGTCTCTCATCACCTCAGCCGGTCCTGCTATCCTCGTTTGCAGCACCTGCTTTTCTTCCTTTCCGTACATCTCCTCCTGAACCTTTGCTTCTTCTATCTGCAGTTCTCGCAGCTTCACCGCCGTGATCCCGAGGATCTCCCCCTCGTCTCTGGCAGTGGCCTTCTTCTCCTCCATGATGAGCTCCTTGAGAGCCTCCAACCGGCTGTACTCCTCACCCAGATCCTCCGGCTTGGTCTTTTCTCTAATTCTTCTCCTCACCACATGTGCGTCTCCTTCTTCTTCTTCTGGCTCCTCGTCCTTGGGTTCCCTCACTCCGGTTACCACCTTGGACACCACCTCAATCTTTCCATCTTGACGTAGAACTCCATGTCCCTTCGTGACCTCCGGGATCTCGGCCAAGTAGCGCGCCTTCTCATGGGTCGGCCCAAACGGATCCTGCAGCTTCTTCCAGGACCTCTTTGGAACCCACACCTCTTCTCCAAAGCTCGCCACCATCCGTTCCCCCTTCAGCCTTTTCTCTTCTGCCACGACCGCATACCTAGCCGCCATCGGCCAGAACTTCACCGCCAGTTCTGCTCCCTTCAGCAGCCTCCTGATTTTGCTTTTCAAGCTTCCAATGCACGCCTCCGCCCTTCCATTCTCCTGGGGAGAGTCTGCACTTGTCGTGGTCTTTTCCACCTCCCGCACCAAGCACCATCTTCGAAGACCATGGTTGAGGAATTCCTTCCCCCTATCGGAGTGTAGCCGCTGGATGGGGTATCCCTGTCTCTTCAGCTTGATGTACAGGTGCTGGATCCCTTCCATCACCGTCTTTCCCCTTTTGTCCGGCAGCGGCACCACCATCACGATCACCTTCAATGGTCTCGGTGGGCCACAAGCTTCCTTAGCTCGCTTCTCCTCTTCCTTCTCATCCTGCGGCTCCTCTCCTTCTTCCTTGTCCTCCTTCTCCCTTTCTTCCTTTTCCTTTTCATCCTCCTCTTTTTCTCCTTCCTCGATTTCTGGCAGGTCTGCCTCATCGTCTGCTTCTCCTCCATCCTCCTTTGGGAAGAACTCCTTCTGCTCCTCCTCCGAAGGCCATGTGTACGTTCCGATGAGGAAGTACCTCGACGTAGCGTCGTTGATGTCCTTGCCCAGCTTGTACGGTCCGCTGAGATCCACACTCAACACCGCCGCCTCGGGATAGTCGACCTTGCAATGTCTCCTCCCCTTTGCTGATGCTTCCTGACATACTCGGCAGTCCCGGCGAAAGGGAGTATGCCCATGTAGCAGATGTTCGCGCCAACTCAGCTTGCACATCTTCTCTGGCCTCCCAAAGACCTCCTCCTGCAGCGCTCTTGCAACCTCCTTCATCATGCCCGGTGCCCATCGGGATAACGTCGCCGATGACCTCACTGCAGACTCCTCTCTCGTAGTCGCCGTAGTTGACCGGGTCGCCGGCATGCTCAGCTGGAGGTTCGTGACCACCCTCGTCGGCTTGACCGCCACACCGCCATAGTCTCCTTGTCGAAAACTATACTCCACCAACCCATGCTGGTCCCGAAGGTCTCGGAAGTTGCCCGTCCTCCACCAGGATCCGCAATCCGGCATGTACTGCGGAACGTCGGGTTGCTCCAGCAGGAATGCCACCTCCGTCTTCGCTGCTCCGCGAAATCCACGGTTCTTTCTTCCTTCTTCCGCCGCACAGTAGAGCATGATCATGCGGTACATGAGAACGTCGTCTTCCCAGACCTGTCTCTTCTCCTCCTCATCGAGGCCAGGCAGGCCAAACCAATGCTCTGGAGCCACCCCCCGCACCGGCCTTGGCTTTCCAGCTGGCAGAGGATAGTGTCGTAGCACGCTCCGGGTGCGGCAGTTCGGACCACCCACGACTCCAAGCACCAGGCCGTTAAAGGCCGCGCCCATCAACGCCGCGTAGACCTCGTCCTTCATCATGTCGTGATCGGCTCCTCTCTTCAGGTCGATCTCCACCAATCTTGTCTTGTCTCCTCCAACCTCCTTAAGAGCCCGACTGAGGGTGTAGCCTTCTTCCTCGCCGGCGTACAGG